CACTGATCGTTAGTTCACGCAGTTAGGTAGGTATAATCTTGTGACACTTTTTGATCCAACTTGTACGTCAGGACTTGTCAGATCTTGAAGCCCTTTCTGTTGGATTTCCAACCCCCCACAAGCTCTTTTTCCCCCTCCTTTCCCTTTCCAACATTTATTCTCTACCAGAGAGAGAAAAATGAATAGGGCATATAGATCCTGACCTCACGGGGCTCAGTTGAAGTCTAGTGGGGGTCACATAAATACTTGTCATGTTCAATGGAAAGTGCTAACAGCTGTCTGTAAAATACCAAGGAAGGTGTTCAGGGAAGTCTTCATGGAGGAGGTGACATTTAAGTGGAAGCTGGAAGGATGAGAAGGGATTCTTCTGGTGCCATGGGGCTGGGGTGAAGAGAGCTCTAGGCAGAGGAAGAGCAGTCGAGAAGGCACAGAGCTATGAAAATGGTGTGTCCCTCATCTGCCCAAGGCTGTGATGTGTGTTGTGATGTGCCAACATGGTTCAGCCCCCAAAACACTCCCTGTTTTTAACCCTTGCATTTTGTCCCTTATCTGGACCCACAGCGACTTTTCCAGTGACCTCTTCCTTTCTCCCAAGACTCCCCCCACCGATGTCATTCAGTGATACCAAGATTAAGAGATCAACACTAATTTAGGTCTTTACGGGGCAAGAAAACTTCCATTTTACTCTGATTTCCTTGTCAAACTTGACACCGCAATGGCCTTTCTCCTTTTAAAAGTGAGGGGTGTTCTCTTTGGAGACATACATATAGCAGATTCTTTTAAAATTAGCAGTAGATGTGGGAGCATTCAAAATTCGAAGCATGCAAGTGCTCACACTTCTACAAATTTGAAAATATAAGAGCCATATCAGATCGTTGATCCAGGGGCACCTGGGGGCTCAATTGGCTAAGCGTCCAGCTTTGGCTCAGGTCATGATCTCATAAGTTGTGGGTTCGAGTCCCGCGTCGGGCTCTGTGCTGACAGCTCAGAGCCTGGAGCCTTTCTAATTCTGTGTCTCCCTCTCTCTCTGCACTTCCCCCGCTAGTGCTCTCTGTCTCTCTCCCTCTCAAAAAATAAACATTAAAAATTAAAAAATACTCTGACTTTGGCAGTGACACCTCCCCACCACGTGAGGGCACATTCTGCACCGTAGGAAGAGGCTCCCACCAGACACTGCATCTACGGATACCTTGATCTGGGGCTTCCCAGCCCCCAAAACTCTAACACTGTGTTGTCGTTTAAGCTGTTTAAGCTGCGCGGCCCGTGGTATTTTGTTACAGCAGCTTAAGCTAGGACAAACTGTATCAGTTTTTTATTGCTGCTGTAACAATTTACCATAAACCCAGTGGCTTAAAACAGCAAAAATGAGGGGCGCCTGGGTGGCTTAGTCGGTTGAGCGTCCGACTTTCGCTTAGGTTATGATCTCGCGGTTCGTGGGTTCGAGCCCCGCGTCGGGCTCTGTGCTGACTGCCAGCTCGGAGCCTGGAGCCTGTTTCAGTCTGTGACTCCCTCTCTCTCTGACCCTCCCCTGCTCACGCTGTCTCTCTCTCTCTCTGTCTCCTAGAAATAAATAAAACATAAAAAAATAAAAATTAAAAAAAAAACAGCAAAAATGTATTACCTTGTGGTTTTGTAGGCCGAGGTCCAAGACAGGACTTTGTGGGCTGAAGTCCAGGTTTGGCAGGGCTGCGTTCTTTCCTGGGGAGACTGTGGGGGAGAACCCGTTTCCTCGTCCCCAGCCTGGGGAGGCTGACCGCGTCCTCCGCGCCCCCTCCAGCTTCAGAGCAAGCCGGCAGCCCTCCTCCCACCGCATCCCCTGCCCCTCTCTCCTTCCTCTTCCTCGTTTGAGGGCCCTGTGATTATACGGGGCCTTCCTGCCGGAGGAGCCAGGATACCCGCAGATGAGCAACCTTAATCCCGCCTACTATGTTCATTGTCCTTGACCCTATAACATAACGCGTTCACAGGTTGCAGGGACTCGGACGGCTTTGGGGGGTGGCGTTACCGTACCTGCAACAGTAAATACCATCCTTTAGGGCTTATTCAGTACCCGCTATTTTTTCAACATTTAGTAAACATTTTTGAGGCTCTGCTTTGCTCTGAGAGCTGTGCCTGACCAGCACAGGAAGGTACCCGATACCGTCTAGAAGCTCGGGTCTGGTGAGGGGCAGTTGGTCTGAAATTCGTCCCTGTGGTCATGAAGGGAGGGCATGAAGAGGGGCTGTCGATGGGCCACATTTTTGGGTGAGTCGGGTCTGGATGTGCCTGGGGGCGTGGAGCAGGTGCAGGGAGGGAAAGAGGAGGGGCAGTCTGCAGGGGCGAGGTGGGGAGGGCAGTCCGTGTTGGGAATCCCTGGCGCCTGGCGCCTGGAGCCTCGTGGGGGCGTGGCAGGGCCTGAGGCCACACGGGACTTCTGGAGCTGGACCGCGAAGGGCCTTGAGCGCTTTCTGGAAGTTCGGACTTGACTCCAGAGGCCTTGTTGGCTGCCCTTTGGCAATTCAGCCTTAGAACTGCTTCCTTTGGCTGCAATGTATTCACATGTTTCTTTATTTTTGAGAGGGGGGAGGGAGACAGAGAGAGAGAGAGACAGAGAGAGAGAACGAGCAGGGGTTGGGGCAGACAGAGAAGGAGAGAGAGTCCCGAGCAGGCTCCAAGAGCCTGACGTGGGGCTCAGCCCCACAAACCATGAAATCATGACCTGAGCCAAAATTAAGAGCTGGCTGCCCGAGCGACTGAGCCACCCAGATGCCCCTGGCTGCAGTGTATTTTAAATCCAGAACTCACCACTGCCAGGTGTACCGTGGCATCCACCGTTTACCTGGCCTTTTGTAGGCGGGGCCTGGGCAAGGGGGCAGAAACCACTGAAAGGTTTAAAACAGGACAGTAACTTGATCAGTTCTTTTTTTTTTTATATAGTTTGTTGTCAAGTTGGTTTCCATATAACACCCAGCGCTCCTCCCCACAAGTGCCCTCCTCATGCCCATCTCCCCCTTCCCCACCCCCTCCCCCCCTCAGCCCTCAGTTTCTTCTCAGCACCATCAATTCTCCTATGTGGTGCAGTCAACACCTCGTTTGTACTTCTCTGGAATCTTTTCCCCAACGGTCTTAAAAGTCAGATTTTGTAACGCAGCTTGAGTGGAAAATAGGAACAAGATTGTGAGAAAGGCAGCTCGTTGTACGGGAAAACACGCCGAACTTGACCTCAGATGGTCCTGAGTTGGACCGTAATCCCTGCCACGCGCTGAAGCGCTGAATGTGTAGCGTTGGATGAGTCCCGTGGCTTCCGCGGGGCTCACTCTCCCACACTGGTTCGTATTAGAGAGCAGCGCTGTGAGCGCCCGCAGCAGGGCAGTAGGGAGGAGAGCGAGGTGGCGTGAGTGAAAGTGCCGGCCAGGGCCAGCGGACACTCTCAACCCCCACTCGTTGTCTGGCAGAGCAGCCAGTACTGTGGCCAGACTTCATTTTCAGCGTGATTCCTGCTCTTCAGGTGCCCGGAGGTACTTTTCTGAGCCGTGCTTATATTTATCTCGACTCTGTGAGAAATTTAACTGATCCCCTCTTGACCTGTCTCCCAACAAACGCCGAGTGTTTTTTCTGTGATGACCACTGTTTGTATTTAGACATAGGCTCGTCCTGCGAGTCCGCCCTGACCGCCCCCGTGCGTCCTGCGGCAGTGAGGCCCGTGTGGAGGCCGCACAGCCCTGCCCCTGCGGTTCACAGTCCCACTGACAGGGCACCAGAGGCCGTGGCCGCGTGACATGGTGCCACGTGGGTGGCATGCAGAAGTGCTCTTAAGTTGAGAGCAAAGTGAGAATTAGCCCTAGTTGGCCTGGACAGAACTGTCCTGGAAAAGCTGAAGGTTCAGCGGTACCTTCAAGGCCGGGGTTGGGTACGTCTGGCTTAAGTGCAAAGGGCATTAGGAGGAAACTAGCGTGAGCATGCTCAGAGGGCAGAGCAGGCCCCCGGCCTAGCTCATCATTCTCTCCCTCTGGAAACACTTTGGTCCCTGTCGGTCATGAACCCAGATTTCTTCCTACCTCTTTTTATTTCATTGTACTTAGTTTTTAAGCGCTAGCTCCACATGCAGTACCTGGCACACGGTAGGTGTTTTAGAGTACGCTTGTCTTATGCTCGTTACCCACCGTCACACATACCGTCCTTTGTGCCTCCTGGCCTGTCTGCATCCATGGAAGTAGGCCATCGGGGAGGTGCCATGTGGGGATCCGTCGTTGCCTCTGAGGCTTTTAAATCTGCGGCTCTGCAGGGCTCTGCCTGTATGCCTGGCGCCTCCAGCCTTAGAAACCGTCCCCAGAACACTTGGAAGAGGCAGTTTTTATCTAGAAAGTTTTAGATAGAAGACACATAGGAAAGGAATTGGCCTTTGTTGAGCATGTGCTGTGTAGATATTAGACATGCATTATCTTAATCTGGAAGTTCCTTAGAGACCATCTCTTCATAACATCTTAGATCTGTCACAGCACTTACAGGCATGGGGGTGACTTTGGGAACATCAGCCAGCAAGTTAATGAAGACAGACGACCCTCAAACAACATGAGTTTGTGTTGCATGGTGCACGCATGTGTACAAATGCAGTGTAGCCTTGTAAGTGGGTTTTCTCTTTCTTACCACTCTCTTAATGACATTTTCTTTCCTCTAGCTAGTTTTTTTGTATGAATTTAGTATGTGATATAACATACAAAATACATGTGAACTGACCATATATGTTATGGGTAAAGCCACTTGTCAACAGTAGGCTCCTAGTAGTTGAGTTTTTGGAGAGTCAGAAGCTATATACAGATTTCCTACTGTGTGGAGGTTGGCGCCCCTTACCCCCACATTGTTAAGGTCAGCTACACGTGAGAATCAAACCAGAATTGTCCCATTTGTAGCTTCAAAATTCTTTACAACCTGCATTCCATCCTCTATTAATTTAAATCACATGTGAGTGTATCTATCTATATGTCTGTCTATCTAAATGGTTTGCTTTCTTTTCATTCTAGATTTCGCACATTGGCAAACTGAGAGACTTTCTCCTGGAACACAGGAAAGATTATATCAATGCATATAGGTAAGTGCATACCTCTTACCATGGCTTTGGTGACTGAATTATTTTCCATACCTGTATTGCTTTTGAGCCTTTTGTCCTTGTGCTTTACTTATGAAGTCAGAGTTGTAGTGGGGAAGGTCGGTTTGGCAGTGGGGTCTGCAGGCAGGAAGGACCGTCCATCCCCCCACCCCCCGCTGTACTACAAGCCCCTCAAAGTCCCAGTACCCCCACGGCGCGACCTTCAGCACTGATACCGCCACGTGTTCGTACGTGTGTCAGTACCACACATGTTGTGAGACATGTAGACATGAATGAGACCCACTTTCTCGGCACAGACCTGCTGTGCCCATGATGGAAGGCTGCAGGTCATGTGAACGTGTCATTTAGATGCATTTCTTGCATCTAGAGAGGGTTTGGTTAGGTTGCTTTTTCAAAAGAGAGAAAGCATTTTGATTGAGCCTTCCAGAATGGTTTCTGGAATGGACTCCAGCTCTCGACAGAGGCAGACCCCTTATCTCCTGAGCATCCCAGGTCTCCGTTCCTACCTGGCGGTGATGTGGCCTGTCCCCCACAGGACTCAGCTTCAGGTGTACTGTGTGAACTAATGAGAAGTTGAGTGGGGTGTATGAAATGATGTCGTAAGTAATTTTGTAGTCTTAAGTGTACTTTATTCGTATAGTCTTGGCATGTAGTAAAACTATTACTCTTAGTGCATAGTACCAGAAGACCTTATTTTTAAGCTCTCTGTTAAAATAGTAGTTCAACACTAGATGGCAGTGTAAATTCCATTTCCAGAGGTGTGTGTGTGCATCAGATACTGATCTGATAGTCCATAGAAGTGGGGGCTACAGTCATTTTGGGAAACTTAACGAAACTGGCATAAGCCTCTCTGTCTAGCTCCTTTTTTTGTACCTGACCACTTAGGTCACATAAATGGCCGTAGAGGTCTTTCCTGGAAATCCATTGTTAACTTCCCTTTGCCTTGAAAAGGCATCCGGCAAGGCGGATGTTTCACCTGTTGGTTTAGTTCAAGCCCCCCTTACTCCCACATTAGCATCGTGAACCCAAGAAAGTCATTTAATCTGTGAAACTCGATGTCTTTCTCTAAACCAAGGTTAGCGAGCTACTGCCTATAGGCCAAGTCCACCCAGCTGCCTGTTTTTGTACAGCCTGTGAGCTAAGAATAGTTTTCACATTTTTAAACAGCTTGGAGAAGACTGAGATTTCACCACATATGAAAATGTATGAAATTCAGATTTCAGTGTCCATAAATAGAGTTTATTGGAACACCACCAAACCCATTCATTTACACATTCTCTGGCCGCTTCTGCACTACAACAGCAGAATTAAATGGCTGTGGCAGACTGTACAACTTGCAGAGTCTAATGTGTTTACTCTTGGCCCTTTTCAAAGAGCGTGTGGAGTCCTGCTCTAAACAGAGAGGTTGACAATCCCTCACCAGCTGAGTGAGAGATTCACACAAGACGGCATAACTGAACTGCAGCGTATTTCCACGCATTTAGAAGATTGCTGTACAAGGGTGCTGTTCTGTCACTTTGCGGTAGTTTTCAACTCAAAAAAAAATATTTTGAGAGAGCAAGCTTGAGCACGCGTCGGGGAAGGGCAGAGAGAGCAGAGGGGACAGAAGATCTGAAACCGGCTCTGTGCTGACAGCAGTGAGCCTGATGCGGGGCTCAGATTCAGGAACCGTGAGATCCTGACCTGAGCCAAAGTCAGACGCTCAACCAACTGAGCCTCTCCTAGGCGCCCCTCAACCTCTGACTGTAAAAGTGATGTTAAGGCATTTATTCCTGCTCAGCTCGCACACACTGTGCGTCGTGCTCCCAGCCCGCTCCTGGCCCTCTCCCCGAGGTTGCCCGGACTAGCCAGCTGCTGCCACATGGCTTCCTCCTTCCTAGCTGCCCTGCGGCAGATGCTCAGACGGACGTCCCAGGTCTCTGGGGGCTGCTCCCGCCCTGCCACTTGCTGGTTGTGCGGCTTGAGTGTCAGAGCTCTGGTCCCTGAGGCTTTCTTCGTCTTGACCAATCCATCTCCCCGTTGTGGAAACTCAGACTTTTACTCGTTTTCCCCGCTGCAGCTGTTCATTGCCGACAAGTGCGTTCTGAGCTCCACCCCTGCCCCTGTTCAGGTCCCTTTGAAAGAGCACGGACTTGGGTGGTCTGGCACACCTAAGTTCGGTCCCTCTGCTGCCCGGTGTTAATCATGTGAGTGTCTAGAGCTCACTTCACGTCTTTGTGCTTGCTCGTGAACAGCAATTGGATTGGGACCCCGTGTGACCTGTGATGAACTTGTGGGGGTGGTCAGGTAATAAAGAACACCTCTCCTTCCTGCCAGAGAGCGGTGGGGGTGGGTGGGGGGAGATGGCATTGCGGGAGTCAGGTGAACATGATGGAGATGGACAAGCTACCTGCTTTGTCACCGGCAAAATCTAGGTGGGGAGGCGATGAGCTTAGGTGTGAGGGTGGGCAGCCTCGTTGGAAAGGCCCCTGACTTAGACAGACTCGCGCAGCCATGATTGCCATGGTCACAGCCCCCAGAGCACAGGGAGCAGGGGCAGGCTCCTTTAGAGCACAGGACAGACGGGAAGACATAGGACCTCTGATGTCCGTAAGCAAGCAGAGCCCAGGAGGAGGGAGAGCGTGGCTAGACGTGTGCGTGTTCATGCTGCGCCCGCGTCCTTCTGCCGGCTTCCCCAGCAGGGAAGGCCCACTGCTGCCATGGCAGGGGCCGGGGTGGGGGGTTAGGGCCACGCTAGGGGAGCCGAGTCACACTGGAACAGAGCACTGGGGGGTAGGCATCCCTCAGTGACGGGCGTTCTCTCCCGATAGAGAAGGGCTGCCCTGTCGTCCCCTGGCAGGTCTCCCCTCCGGACGGTGTGGACCGACCACAGCCTGCCTTTTACCACTTCTGCCTCCCGATGTGCTGGCCTTGGCCAGGAACATTTTAGATGAAGTCTGATCATGGAATTGAAAGAAAAATTGCCTTCAGACCCATAAAGCTTTGTTAGTTTGACATAATTAGGAAGCTGTAATTTTTTCCATAATGTAGAGCTCAGACTTTATTGACCCATTTAATTTTTTTTTTTAGCAATGACATTTTACTAGAGCAGAGCCGCGTGCACTGAGGTGGCCTCTGGCTGGATCTCTTGAATGATTTTAATTAAAAATAATGTTTCCACTTCTGGTAGATGTACCTTTTCTGCAGTGTCTTGGCAACAAAACAATACCACTTGGGGGGAAAACTTCCTGGGTTTCTGTTGTTACTAATAGAATAACCATACTGTCAATTTCCAACTTGAAAGGTTAACGGATAATGTTCCTAAAGGCACATCACCTTTTAATTGAGTAATCAGTCTTATCAAATTAACCTTTAGCTTTTTCAGTTTCACTGAGCCGAGTTTCCATTAAATCAAAATGCAGAGTAGGGGATGTTAATCTCATGTTCTTGGAATTAGTCGTTTACAGATCCACTGCACCCACGGGGGCGTGTTCGCTGGGAGGTGAGTACCTTTCTGGTTTATTTGTCCCTGGCCCCTTTCGCCTCCATTTCTGATGAGAGCGTTTCTAGTTTCTGTCTGGGAGGAGCACAAGACTGGAGGTCCCCTGTTCCTGTTCTCCCTCCCCCGCTCTGACGGGGGGCTGGGGAGAACGGAGTGCACGTTCCGTTAGCATTACCTGGCGTGACCCTGGTTAAAGCAAACTAGTTAAGAAATGAGATGCTGGGAGAGGGAACCCTCATCTCTCACTTCCAGGTTCCACTGAGGGTAGGGCCGTCTGTTTTCCAGAACCGAGGGGCTTCCTTCTGTCCCTCCGACTACCCCCCAGAAAATGAGGGGCTGGGGTCGGAGGTGGGAAGGTGCCTCATGGAGGAAGGAGGAGACTCACCTGGGGGCCGGGACTGAGAAGTCCGTGGTCACTACTCCTGTCTCTCTCGGGAGGGGCCTGTTACCAGGATGGGTGCAGTCGCTGCATTTGCCCCTGAAGTCTTCCAGGGAAAGCTCTGGAAGGGCTCTGAAGGTGGGGGGGGCTGCTCCTAAGGAGCACAGATACCGCTGCCTACCAAGCTTGTTCTGCTGTCAGCCTCACACGCTGAGTCAGGTCGTTGGAAAAGTGATTAGGATGGACTGACTTATCAGCCTGCCGGACTCTAAGCGCGGCTCTTGATGACGGGGCTGCAGCAGGGGCACGCAGAAGGCCTTGCCTCTGTGGAAGGTAGAGTTTTGTGGGGGAAGACAGACAGACTAGAGCATGATAAGTGCTTCCGGAGGCGGGGAGGGAGAGTGGCTAGAAAACGTCAGAAAGGGTGCAGTCTTCTAAAGGTAGGTCAAGGCAGCCCTTATTAAGAGGGCGACATTCAGTAAATACCTAAAAGAAGGTTTCAGTTTATGTAAATGTCGGGAAAGAACATTCCAGAAGAGGGCAGCCAGCAAGTATAAAGATCCTGATGCAGGAGCATGTCTGGAATGTTGCAGGAGCAGCGAGGGGGCTGGTGTGACGGGCAGGAGGGTTGGGGCCTAGGGAGGAAGAGCTCACAGAGACCCCAGGAGCCAGATCTTGCAGATCATCTTAAGGACCGTGGAGCTTTGCACGGACCGTGGCTCCTGTTCTCAGGTGGGAAGCTGCTGGAAGTCCTGGTAAGGACGAGCGATGGGACACGACTCACTTTGTAGGCGGATCGCTGTGGCTGGGGTGTGAGGAGAGGCTGGAGCAGCAGACCTGCCAGGAGGCACCACTTAAATCCAGGCAAGGGGTGTCCGTGCCATGGACCCGAGCCAGAGCAGTGGCTGTGATAGCAAGGGGTCAGATTCTGGAAATATTCTGAAGGCCGAGTCAAGGAGCAGGTTTGAAGAGAGCGGGCAGGGGCTCAGGGTGGGGCACATTCATGACGCAAGTTCCACGGCCAAGCGGATGGTTAGATATTCGTGCCTCAAGTTCCAGGAGAGATTGAGGCTGAGACAGAAGGTTGAGACTTGGGAGCGTAAGGCTGGTATTTCGCTGCTA